AAGTAGTAATCGATTCCTACACAAAAATTTATAAGAGCAATAAATTTTTTAAATGGTGTTCATTTTAAAAAATAATGCTCCTATAGATTGGATGGTTTTGAAGTCTTTCAGTCCGGAGAATCTAGGCATCGCTGTGCCAATGGAAATCCGTTGCCGCCGGTTTGAATGACCCTACGGAAGTGAAGCGAGTATTAGCGTAATGATAGCTTGCATTGCATTAAAATTAACTCATCACCCTCCGCTACGATGGTTCCCAATAGCGTGATAACTGAAATATAAAAGTCGCCGTGCCTTTTTTCAATAAAAAGCGTCGAGGCTGTTCGTACATTAAATGCATTTGGTGCAGCAAGTCACGCAGGCGGACGGGCGACGGCACGCAATACCGCTGTCATCGCGTGAGCACATCGACGCCATGTTTGTTTCAGGGCTCGTGAAAATTGAACACGTACGTCGTTTTGGCTGTATTACCTTTTAAAATTCATGAGACGTAGCAGCAGTGCCGTTGTTGGAGTCTGCGGAGGAACTTGGATTGTTAAACACTCTCTGGATACGCATATACTAAGTTCTGGCCATACTTAGATGCGGCACGATGAAAATATACACCATTACTTTAACGGTGGTAGGGTTACGCAGCAGCCTCGGCTGTTGCACCAATGGGCAGGCCCGTCCGGGTGAGTACCACGACCTCACAGAAGACCAGCGTAAAGTGGAAGTATGACAAATACTTTCGCGTTTCGTCTGGTGAGTGAGGTAGCCGGAGCCCAATTTTCAAAAGGTTGTCAACGCCTCTGTAACCTTCGGGTGCAGCAGATGACCATGGGCGGCGGTATTCACTTAACATCAGGTGAACCGTCTGCTCGTTTGGCAACTTATCACATAAAAAAAAAAATCATAAGCGCATGTAAATCTCTTTGGTCCACTTCTGGTTTAGTTTTTGACATTTTGCTTCTAAAAAAATTACAATATTTTTACTTTATTATTATTTGACTGCAACTATTTATAAATTTGATGGTGACGGATGAAGGGACATGTTTCTTCTGTTGACCAGTTATTTACATTTTGTTGAACTTATAAAACGAATCCTATTGGAAATAGAGCCTAATAAATTCAATGAATGTAATCGCTAAGACGTCCACAAAAGAGCTTCGTGGGAGTATTAGTCAGTCGCGTAATGAGAGGGAGCCTCGACTCGTTAACCTAATGTCTATTTTGAAATCAATTGGCGCTATTTCATACGAGGCTACCGTCAATAATTTTATTGTTTATTTAACAATTCATAGCGGTTATTAAAAACTAATCTTCTTAAACTAGTTGGCCTATGCCTGCTAGTTTAAAGAGTATACCTGGGTTCTAAATCATGAGTTTGAAGTCAAGAGAATAAATGAAAAATGATATTTTTAATAAAAGAGTAATCATTTTGATTGAATCCTGGCATGATGCCAGCATTTTTTAAAGCCCATCATTACGTATGGTGCAACGATATTGAACAACAATTGTTACAATAATATCTCTTATATCTTTTAACAACCACAGTGGGTGTAGTGCGCTAATCAAATAAACAATTTCACATTGGTTGCTTGATTTAATACGACTTATATTTATGCTGAATTATTCATTTGTAAAAATCTGCAATGTGTGTTTGATCGTATCTTTTTCTTTTTCTTCTTTTTCCTGCCCTTATATAGGGTCTGTCTATTATTATGTTAATGGTATCGGTTGGGATTTTTACGACCATTTGTCTGAATAATCACTTGTAGGTCTCATAAATACTTATCCCGTATCGGAATCGAACCCACTAACCCTGTCGCCAAAGCTAATAGTTTAGCATAAGCGCCACCGAGTCATTTGACGAATTTGTATACAATATTTTATTTGTAACCGTTGCATAATGGCTCATTGATTATTTTTATGGCGACGTAATTCTGTCATGCAATAGCGCAATTCAATAATGTACTTTTTCTATTAACTTTTAAACATTTTCATTTACTGGATATTAATTATATCGGCGTACACGCTACTTTTTTCTGTTTTTGTGCTTCGAAATAAACAAGAAACATTAGAAGCTCTCACAATTAAATAAAATAGGGTAAATATCTACCCTTGAGGTAACCAATAGGAACTTTCTTCGAAGACACATCGGGAAATCGGAGATCATGGTACACACAAGTCAAAAGCGTTTCCTTGTGTCGCAATTATTTTTACATATTTAATTAAAACAAAGTATTAGACAGATGCCTTTTCTATGACAACAAGCATGTAAATTGTTCAAATCATTCAGTCAACGATTTAAAACTAAATGAAAAGTCTCAAAAAGTCCGTAAAATAGTTTCATTCGATCATGATTATGTTTTTTCACGTAAATAGAAATCATAAGTTAATTTATGATATTACTATTAGAAGAAATTAATAACCACGCAATAAATTTACGTAACGGGCTAAAGCAGGTGCGTTATACTAATTACCGTTAAAAGTCAAGGCCTTAATTGGTGGGAGTGAGCCGCAAATACAGTTTTTAATTAAGTTGCTATGTCACCTACGTCTTACTGTTAAAGATTATTATCAATCAATTGAAATATGTAATTAAGTAATCATAGATACAAGTATATCATTATCTTATTAGTAATTAGAATTCTACAGTGATGATTTACTAATAATAAGCAATAATGTAGAAAAAAAAATCAAAAGCAATAAAATAAGCTTTTATTTTTGAATAAGTGCTCTCGCAAGAACAAGGAAATCATTTATCTCACTAAGCTTTAACTCCACTGGTTTGCTCGTAGGTATGTACACTATGGTCTTTTTGGTGGTAAAATATCTTCACGGTCAGTTTCTTTGAAAGGGATTACTAATTAACGGCAATGAAACTCAAGAAAACACGATGTACTTTACGTCATGTCTAATGCACTTCAAGCAACTGTTCTGTTGATTTTTCTGCATGTAGACGGGTGGAGCTATTAATTCTAAAAACTGGACTGCCCGATAAAATCAGACTTAGGTAGACAGCAACAATAACAAACAGTATTATAAGGACGTTTAACAAACATAAATTTCACGCGGATAAACACCCAGATGCGAAACAACTATCCGTGGGTCGCACAAATAGTTGTCCCGTGTGGGAATCGAATCGACGACCCCCGACGCCGAGTCCAATACCTTGGCAAATGCGTCACGGAGTCATCATGAATATGCTTTGTACTTTTTTGTTAAAAGTAATATAAAAAGCTCTTTTTATTTAGCTTTAGAGAATAGTTTCGGTCCTTGGTAAATCCATGGGCATCACATGCGTTCAATTTACTGTATCTATCTCAAACTCTATATTTAAGTCTTGTTTTTAACCTACGAGTCTATAACTCGGTAAAAATTGAAAATTGAATTTGCTCTGTTTTTTTTTATTTCACTATAACAATTAAAATACGTTTACGAGGTACTTTTAAGGTGTATCTAATGAAATAATAATGGAACCTAAACTTTAAGCCAAAAACACAGTCTTAAGTTGGTAGTTTGCCTTTTGTATCAGGGTACCACAAAATTTAATCCAAAAGGTGAGCACGTTTGACTCGCGCGGTTTGTTTGTGTACTGGGCGTCTGCCGATTACGGGTGATCTCGGTATAGAGTTGCAGGTGTTGTGGATATGGTTTGTAGCCTACAAAAGAACTGAGGTTCTTTCCTTAACCGGCTGGACCGTGAGGAGACACAAACACCAACGGATTGTCGTGTTATGTCAAGAGAACCAATACATAAAACTAGTAGAAACTAGCTTTTCAAAGGGTTCGGAATAAAATAAGGTGAAGTTTTATTCATCGGGTCATAAATTTTGGCACATGTTTATTATGAAATAATAATAAATTACAGTAACCATTTATATATCAAAAGGAACTTACTAAAACAATGATTCCCATACTAACTAAGCTTATTGAAATATACATTCCCGCGATTTTGAATACAAGTTCTGAACATGCGCGGCCAGTCGTCTAGCAGCATGAACGAGATCTATATCAATATAGGCAGCTGCTTTGATCAAGGAAGCCTGGAGAATCTTGCTGGAATTAAAGTTTCTGTCACTGAACATGCTATGATAATAAGGTTTGTAAGGGCTGTATTTTGATATACAACTGAATTAATTTTACGCCTTTCTCACTAAAATGTATTATTATAATAAATATATTCTTCACTATGGTGGGCTTTATCCGTATACCTTATCATTTTGTTTATTATAGCTCTTTTCCATGGTAAATAATTTCATCCATTTTACGGTATTTTTTTCCCAGCTTAAACAAAGTGTTTAATCTCTTCAGTCTTAGGTCCATTAAACGCGCATCTCAACAATGTTCTGTTCTTCTACGATAAGTTCGAAGCCCTTCGCATCGTTGTGCTGCTTAACTTCATCTGAAGGGCCATCAGTTTTTGCTTACGCATGAGATTTCGTTAGATTCACGCCTTCACGGCACTTATCACCGCTAGAGTGATAAAAGCTGTTATTTCCGTCGGTTTGTAATGAGCCGTTTAGCTTAGTGGCTAATGCGTCAGGGCGCGAATCCCGAAGACTTGGGATTGATTCCCACAGCGTCGAATATCTTTGCGTAGTTTTTATACAAATTTTAATGTTTAATCTCAAGTGCAAAGATTAGCAATATAAAAATTTTAAATTGATGTTAAATCTTTTTAATTTTTTTATCCTACAAAATCTTACACATTTTATTTCCTAACGTCAAAAGAACAATGAACAAGTAAGTTAATGTATATGTTTTATGGCGGTTGGTTTTGGTGGTATGGTATACTGTTAATAGATTAAGCAAAAAAAATTATTTGTTTATAATTCAGTTTTAATGTACCCTTAGATGTACCGTGTCCAACACTCGCTTTTCTGTGTTTGAATTAAACAAACTATTATAAATATGGTAGTAGATATAAGATAATAAATCTCATTTCACCGTGAAATCTATCGGAGGATGACCCCCACTAGATAGAGTGACGACCTGTGCAAATGTGTGGGAAGTCAATGGATGCAGGTGGATCAGGATCTTACTTCGTTGCACCGGCACAGCACCATTTAGAAGAGGAGGCCGGTGTCGCGGAAGATTGCGTCTACGTGTTCCCGTGTCCACGGCATGTAATTACATTTTTACAGACTCGAATCAAGCGACGAAATGATAAAGACTTCGACATCGTTTAACACGACATCGATTACATAGTGGCGTTCGTGCTGCATATATACGACTTCTGTTATTGTTATGACAAGTTAATTAACCGGTGTCTCAATGCCGAGAGACAAATTGTTTATTAATTCGGTATAAAAACATGCCCACCGTAATATTAAATGTCGCTACGTTTTATCGAACAGATAAATTACTTTTAAGTTGCTTTATATTTTTGATTTCTTCGAGCGACATAATTTTTCGTGAGTTTTTTTTATTTATTTTCTTTACATAACATTATAACATGTTTACTCAGGATAAAAAGAGTTAACTAAAGCATTGGATGTATATTACCGCTCTAATTCGTATTAAGTCAAAGACTTCTTTAAGAATTCTCCCTGTTAAGGATTTCAACCGAAAACTGAATGAATTATTTCTCGTACTTTAATTTTACCTCGGAATATAAATTAAATGCGCAGGTACTTTAACTTCCATCAAGAAAGAAAACAACCAGCTCGTTAGACGAGAAACAAGCGCCAAGATTAGGAACGCCAACATAAAAAAAAACAGAAACACGACATTTTCAGACTTAGAAAACTCGTTAGGATTATTATTATATTGTTATGATTATTATAGATATTAAGAATAGAATATTAAGATGTGCGTAAAAAGGTATAGCCTTGTATAAAAATTTAATTCTATATAATAATGTCTTGTTCAAAAAACCAAACTAGTATATCTTTATAAAAGTACACCGGTTCAGACGAGTGGAAACGCAAAGTGGAATGGGTGAGTAATACGGTACATAAACGGAGCTCATCCGAAGTCAACGCACCCGCTTAGGTTGGAAGCGTCTTCTATATAATGTTTTAGAAAATCCCTGCAGCGTTTCAAGGGGGGCACTGAAGAGTGCAGACGCGGGGGGCGGTGATGTTGATAACCTGGATTGGGAGCGAGGGCGCAGGGTCGCGGACCTTGCTGCACGACCGCGCCCAATCTGAACCTCAGCCCTGTGCTCTAACAACACGCTTGACGTACTTCGCGACGATAGACGTTCAACGTAGAACTGCTTATGCGTATTAAAGTGCAGGAATTAGTGTATAGCGTCTTCTGATAAATTTATTGGCGCGAGGTGAATGTAGAAATATCGAAAGTGAACGAAAAGTGTTTCGTCACTGCGTTCAGGCGTCTCCTTTGATTAGGTTGGACAGTGTGTACAACTCGACACAGTAGGTACTTAACGTTACTATTTATTTTCTGCCCGGAACTCACAAGGCGTTATATGGATTTCTTCGCTTTTGCGAAATCGTGACACGTTCCAATACTGTAACTCTTCAATGGAATGATTATATTACTCTTTATGCTACCTCATGGACTAAGACTAATTACGATCTACGGTTAATTTCAAATATTATATGTATATTATATATTCAGTACAGCTTTGGCATCGCTTAACCTGATTAATTGACTAATTTTTGGACTACATAAGAAAATTATTACATAACATACAATAGATTAGATAAGAATTGTAATTTATTCGTAATATGAATAATTGACCACACGAGTGAAATTCAAAGGCCTGACGCGTCTACGTCGCTGATGCCTGACGTCGCAGTAAAAACCTTCTGCATGCATTTTTGTATTCACGATGAGGGCTGTTATTAAAATTCGAGATAAGAATCCCGGCGATGCGGTGCACGATATCATCTGAGTTTCGCTCCTCGCTGAGACATTGTTGAGCACGTGAGTTGATAAACTAATATCCATTAATCACGCGATACGAGAAACGCGCCCGGGTAATGAGTGAGAAAATCGCGCAGTTTACATTTTCACGGGGAAACAAAGGCTAAAGGGAACGCGCAGCAGATTAAACGGTTCCGCGCTTCCAATTTCCTTTGAATTTGGCCGGTTTAATTTTGTTGGTAGCACTGTATGGTCGAAGTGTTCTATTATAAAAGGTATTTACTGCCACTTTTTACACTTTGTCTGTGGCACAAGATAGCTATTTGGAGCAGCAAAGGTCAAAAAATTTGTTTTTATTTTAAAGTCATATGGTCAAAATTTTATCTACAGCTTAAATAAATGAAACGGTGTGATAATGGAAATTTTAAATATCAATTTATAAAAAAGGTGTCTGCAAATCTAAAGCTGAATTCGGACATATTTAAGAATGTTAGAAATATATTAAAAGAAGAGACTATCTAAACAAAAAGGCTTTGAGGAAAAAACCTTTCCCGCGTGTTGTGTTGTTTATTTTTATTCTATAACATCGTAAGGAACTACCGGCGCTGTATATGAACTTAAATTAATAACGCTCTCTGTGCTCCATTTCTTCGGAGCGTAAGGAACTACAATTCAGCAATTGCGAAAGCGATCTAGCTGAAGTATATCTTTACAAGTCTAGAGAATAGATATTTCCATGATTGAATCGAGGCAAATTGCAGGCTCGCCGTCTTAAGGTTCCTTCCTTATTGTTATTAGGGGTCCGGTGTGCGTAGACTAACCTCGACGTAACCTTAAGCTAACGGCAGACAAGATTTTTTCTATAAATTCTTATGATATTAAAAAAATAAATTAATGTGATGTTATTGTATTAATTCCGAATTATATAAAATTGATTGTGCTTATAATAGTAAATAGTTTAAAAAAATAAAAATTGTGAGTATTATTACAAAATCATCATTTATATTTTAACTGTGGTAGGATCACGCAATATTTTCACTGTTGCACGAATGGGCAGGTCCGTCCGGGTAAGTATCACGACCTTGCAGAAGACCGGCGTAAAGTATAAGTGTTACACTTCTGCGTTTCGTCTGGAGAGTAAGGTAGCCGGGGCTCACTTTATTTAAAGGTGGCAACACATTTGCAAACCTACGGGTGTCGCAAATGTTCATGGGCGGCGGCTATCACTTAACATCAGGTGAACCGCCAGCTCGTTTGCCAATTATATAAAAATATGTATTTTAAATATTAGTAATAGTCGTAATTTTTATGTACTTATTATATACTTGTATAATATTTTTTTCAAACATACCTATGCAGCATGAAAGCTAGGAAAAAGACTACTCGTGCTAGATGCTCCCCACATACACAAAGGTGGAAACAACTCTTACTGTAGGATAACTGTGCTGTAGGACGTTTTACAACAGAAACAACTGTCTGTGGGTCACGAAAATAGCTCCTCGCGTGAGAATCGAACCCTCGACCCTGCTGTCGATACTAATACCTTGACAACTGAGCCAACAGCGCGAGATATTACCAATACATTTAATTTCGGCAACGGTGGTGCTGCAGGAGCTGGTACCGTCACTCCTCGAACCCTTATCACGCCGCCTAATCATCAGACTTATGTACGATTGATTTAGTTCTTTCCTTATACAAGACTAGCGACCCGCCCCGGCTTCGCATGGGTTTAATGTATTATACATATAAACCTTCCTCTTGAATAACTATCTAGTAAAAGAAACCGCATCAAGATCCGTTGAGTAGTTTTAAAGATCTGAGCATACATAGGGATAGACAGACAGCGGGACGACTTTGTTTTATACTATGTAGCGATACGGGAGCAACACGTCGGTATTATCGATATCCGTTAAAACCGCCAACTACGTGTGTTACAAGTAAAGCGTTACGTGTGTAATTTCAGAGATTATTGCCAGACTCTTGTACACTTTTATTGCGTAATGAATGAAAGGTCGGCGCTCGGGGTGGTGGGCGGCGGGCGGCCTCGCACGGGGGCGCTGCAATGCACCCCCCGAGCCTTATTTCGGGTCATCGAGCCCGCCCCCGCACCGGCGAGCGGAGCAAATGCCGTCTTGCAAAACGAACATTTCATCTAGGATTAATCATTTTAACCATCCCAGTGTCAAAGTTCATTAGCTTAAGTAGCTCAACCGAATGCGAGTGTCGTTTCGCTAAACGAAGATGATATAGGATAAATAATTTTAATCACTCGTTGGGCTAAGCATCTCCAATAATATTTGCCAACGTCTTTATGGTGTAACACACTGTATAACGGAGCTTGCGTGTAGGATTATTTCTATCTGTCCCTATCTATGCTTAGATCTTTAAAACTACGCAACAGATCTTGACTAGATAGAGTGATTCAAGAGAAAGCTTTATATGTATAATACATTAAACCCATGCGAAGCTGGGGCGGCTCGCTAGTTCTCAATAAGTGACTATTAAAGTATTTTTATTTTTGATTTGTAGCTAAGGCGATGTTTTAATATATTAAGTGATTAATAACCAAAATCGATCCAACAATGACTCAAAAAAAAATAAAAAAAATGATGGCAAAACACAAATTCAAAAGGGTTTCAATCTGATATAAAATGGACTGAAATAAATAGAACACTCTATTTGATTTTGTTGATCTAAATTGCATCTATGTTAATCCAATCTATTGAAAGGTTTTCACACACAGGAAAACCGATATGCCTAAATGAGATTGAAGCCTAATTGTTTTATGTTAATATCAAAGTTTAAATCGATCACCTTTCAACTTTTTAAGTATTTTCTGAAAAGACAGTGAGAAATATGACGTTTGTGAGGATAGAGACATTTTCTTTAAAATGCTAGTGGATACTGTGGTCTCATAGTCGTAGGAAAAAAAGTAAAATGAATACCACAGATATGAAACCTTCTTGTATTTTTATTTATACATCTGTATCTTGTTATTTCCTTAAACAGTATAAGTCTAGCGTCGGTTAATTATACGATGGTCTTAGATACGATTTTCAAGTAATGCAACACAATCGCTCTTAGTTTAAAAACAACCATTCAATAAGAAAATGCAGATATCGTACTTAGAACAATGTTTAGATATTTTTTTAGATGATTATATATTTTTACCTTTCCCTTCATACTGTACCAAAATAAATTTATTGGGGTAACGTAACTACGTACTAATACCATACGAACTAAATTGGTCTGAAAACCGTTTTTCATTTTACTCTTGTTTTTTATATCTAATATATAAAATTCTCTTGTCACGGTGTTTGTAGTTGAACTCCTTCGAAACGGCTCGACCGATTTTCGTGAAATTTTGTGTGCATATCGGCCAGGGTGGAGAATTGAATGTTAAGTATGGTCCACCCCTAACATTTTTTTCTACCCTACAAATAATTTATATGGCAAAATAACGTTTGCCAGCTAGTACTTTATGTTATTGTCAATTAATTTAAACTGTTCTATTGTACTTATCAATACTGTAATAAGTTTGACTTCATCTATAATAAGTTTTTTTTCTATTTATAGTGTACATTCTAATGGATGATTTTTAAGAAATACTGTCCATGTCATTCGTCTTTGTATAGTTTTAGTACTGGCTTGGAGTGATCTGTAATTGAGCTATTCTTTGTGTCTGTTTTAAAGTACTGCAAAAGTTATGTGCTCTTGCAATGAAACCAAATTTCATATGTTGTAAAATTGCAGTCAACTGTAAGTTATTGTTTACTTTTATGTTATAAATTTGAGTAGTTACGATGGGTTAGTTGAGCCATGACAGCTCAGTATCCGGGCGCATGGTTTACTTGAATTTACTCGAGCAAATAGAGTTCAAATCTTCGTTCTTGCCTGTTGGCACTCTCTTATACTTCTCTATCGTGCGTTGCACAACAATGATGTTATCTTCAGATGTCGCTGTTGAAGGTAGTCACTTATGCAGATCATCATATTACTATTCCCACGTTTAAAACCATGAAACAATTGTAAACAGTGGCATGGCATATGATTTATATATCTTTGTTGTCGAGTAAGACGAAAGTCGTAATAAATCGTGGACCGAAAATTTTCTCGCGTTAAATTCATTTTGAGGCCTAACAAGACTTAAAATTGCCGCTAGTTCACAAAAACAAATGATAAACGAATACAATACCTACATCACATTACGTTACCAAAAAGTTCTATACGAAAAATTTTAAAAATGTTTTCATTAGCAATGTTTCTAACTGGCCAGTTCTATACCTTATTACCAGTAGGCCCTTCAGTGTCACCTGCTTAATATAAGTTTCCTTAGATGTTATGACATTTTTTCAAACATTATTGATAGCAATAAAACATTATCTAAACATCTTTCTATAGAGGTAGAAAGATGTTAGAGTTTATAATTTGGACGTTTTTTTAATAGACATAAGAAGTCTTGTGAAATTTAAAATCGATTGCAGTGATGGGATGTTCTTGATAAATGAGTATAAGATATTTTAGTATTCAAAGTGTGATCGATTGTAGAGTTGAAATTTAGGTACTTAATAGAATAACAGTTGGGTTAGGTCAGTTCATCTATTAATATTAATCATATATATATAGTTAAGTAAACATAGAGTCCTAAACAAACAATTTTTTAACTAATTGTATGTCCATTTATGGTAAAATGTACGGTTAAAGTTACTCCGGTAATAAGTAATTACCGGAGTGACTTTGATGGATTGGAATCTGTTAAGATATAACAATCGAATTCTGTCTTTGAATGTAAATAAGCGCCTGTAAAGAAAACTGCTTATAATTTTTCAAACTTCCACGTTCCAACCATCGCATCGGTTTTAAAACGTTTCATTTCTCGTTGCGCAAAAAACAAGGGGCATTCCCGTTAAGGCTCGCTTATTAAGAATGTTATATGCAAACACTACTTATTGTGCGCTTAGGAATTAGATGTCGGTAGATTAATTTAATAATAGAACGCGCGGGGCGAACGAAACACAACAAGAAAACGGTCGGGGGAAAAAAGAATTCCATAGATATTGTCCGCGTGCACGCAACGATTATGAATGCGAGGCGGTGTTCTTTTTTTCGCTTCTCGCGTCTAACAAGGAGTTATAGCAAAACGCGTGTCGGCGTGTTGGCGCGGGTCCATTAATCCGGGGCCCGCTTGGCGACAGGTGAGGCCCGATAATCTTGCGTCTGTGCTTGCAAATGCCTGACCTTTCCGTAATTGAGTAGGCAGGCCCGTTGCGGCCGCACGCATCCACCCTACGCACGCGAACCACGCTGCGCCCATGCTATGGGGAGATTAACATTCGCACCGCGTTAAAAGGGTACACTCGAGTATTCAACGCTGAATTTTCATACTTATCAACTGTACAATGTCCTTGCAAGAATTAACAATACCACTAATGAGTCGAATTAGCTATTTATGGTGAAGCAAGCGTTCTACCCTGAGCACTTTTAATGTTGCATTGTACGAATGATATTAATGGAAATGTATTATTTAATATGTAAACCTGCACCTTAACCATTGTCGTTTTTAAATATTTGTTTTATTTTTAAATGTTATGATTATTTCATATAATTACATTTGCCTTAATAGTAGAAGTCAGGAATAGTGTAGCATTATCAATATTGTTTTAACGTGAATAACTTATGTAAAGGGGTAAACACTAGCTATCTTTTTTATCTCATAATACGCATGTAAGATAAAAAACACCACCATGCGGATTGTTTACAAGAACATGGGCCCGTGTAATATGGTGCGTGTATAAATATGCCATTCGCTTTGAATAAGCTAATTCAGACGCAATAGGCTGTTTTCTTCTCAATGCTGTAAAAATCATTCAAGCGTTTAAATCACATGAATAATTCTTTGTAGTGTTAAAGAAGTAATTGCAAGTTAAAAACTATGCCGATGTAATGCTTCGCTTGGCTCTGACATTGTCATGTTACTGTTTTCAGTATCTTTCTACATTTTGGAATGTAGTCTATTGAGCTATGAAGTGTTTATTCGATGAATAAACGAAATGCATCTTTGTACGAGTGTATGGACGTATTAAGTAACGCACTTCATAATATAAATTTTATTATATAAAGGCACGCGTAATGAATTTACACCCATAATGTTTAAGGGCTGAAACGTGTCATACGCGTTTACCTATTAACGCTTAACACATTTTACTCGTACGTATTTTTGACACATATACAAATTACAAACGGTAACTATACATGTCCCACTGCTGGGCAAAGGCCTCCTCTGTACAGAGGCTATCCGGGCATAGTACACCACGCAGCTTCACTGCGCTTTGGCGGACTTCACATATCTTCTAAATATTTTTTTTGTTATTATTTCGAAAATATGCAGGTTCCCTCACGATATTTTCCTTGACCGCTGAGTACGTGGTAATTCATTCAGTACTTAAAATGAACAAATTCATTGGTCCGATCCCCGGTAGCACCGGGGATCGGACCAATGAATTTGAACTCAGGTTGCTCGAGTGTATTGATTTAAAGGCGAACGCCCGGACACGATCAGAGCGATCACGGCTAACGATGTACATTATATAACGCAGATATTAGAAATAGCAGTTACTGTTACATATTAAAACTGTTTTGTCGCGATTAAACCAGTCTTTTTTAGGCCAGACGGGTAAGACGCTTATCCGCTGACGGCATCTCATATATTTATAGAAACACATTAAAATTAATTTCATTTAGGGAACCATTTTCGTCTTCTATTTTGTTCATATCTTCAGATGAAGGAGTATAAGTACCTTCACTCTTAAATTAAAACTACGTCCTTAAATATTAAAATAATAATTGTATAATTATAAATAATAATATTTTAGTACAAAAAATATATTTAATATTTTCTTTTGAAAATCCTGTCTCTTTTCCTATTCTTGGCTATAATTGTTTGCTTGAACACACCTTGTGATTATTAATGATTTCAACAATGAGCGAGCTTCGTGAAGGAAACGTTCTTTTCTCCAGCCATAAAAACAACACATCCTAAAGTAAAGTCACCCTATACATGTCCCACTACTGGGCAAAGGCCTCTTCTGTACAGAGGGTATCAGGGCATAGTCCACCACGCGGCCTCACTGCGGATTGGCGGACTTCACATATC